CCCCAGAGGCCCCCCGCCCCACCCTCTTACCCGGCAGCCGTCCTGAGGGACACTGATGGTGGCCGCTGCCGTCTGGTTAAAGGACAGCTCCTCCCCGTTGGCCCCGAGGAAGCGCAGGGCGCGCCCGTGGTCCCCCGTGGCTTCGTCCAGCCAGGCGGCTGCGTTCTGGCAGTTGTACGTGAACCTCTGCTGGGCCGTGGCACTCAGCAGTTTCAGGAAGGTCAGCTGTACCACGTTCACCGGGGACCCGTCGGCGTCCATGTAGGAGAACTGTGGAGGGACAGAGCAGGAGTGAGGCTGCACGACTGAGCTGCCCCTCCCAGACTCTCCGTGCACCAGCACCCCTGCCACCGCTCCCGTGTCCCTACCCCACAGGGCCACCCAGCAGCCACCAGGACATCTAAGGCCGAGCCCCAGGTCATGTCCCGCATCCCTTCCCCTCCCAACTGCACCCTGCGATCCCACTTTCTGTCTCTCTGTCTCTCTAGTGAGCTCATGGGCCCTGTTGTAAAAATCTCTCAAACATGGGACCAGCAGTTAGCGTAATGGCTATGTCCTGGACTCCCATGTAGTCGACTGCGGTTTGAATCCCGGACCCGGTGGCTTAAACTCCCGCCAGGCGCATGTGCGTGCGTGCCCAAGATCCCGAGAGGAGAATGGAGGAGAAGGGATTGTGGCGTGGCCATCCCCCCGGGGGGTGATTTCTCGCTGTCTGTCTCTGTCTCTCTGTCTTTCTGGTGAGCAAAAACCTCTCCAGGAAAAAAAAAAAATCTCTCAAACATGATTTATTTCATTGTATTTATTATTATTATTATTATCATTATTTTGAGAGAGAAGTTTTTGCTATAGGGTGCCTGGGCTCGCCAGAGATACAGAGAGAGACAGAGAAACAGAAAACGAGAAATCAGCCCCCAGGGGAGATGGCCACGCCGCAATCCCTTCTCCCCCATTCTCCTCTCCGGACTTTGGGCACGCACGCACACGCGCCCAGCAAAAGTTTTAAGCTGCCAGGTTCGGGATTCAAACCATGGTCAGCGACGTGGGAGTCCAGCGACGTAACCATTACATCATCTGCTGGTCCCATGTATTTATTGTTATTGTTTTTTTTAAGTTTGCTATAGGATACGTGGGCTCACCAGAGACGGAGGGAAAGTGAGAAAGCAAGCCGCCAAGTCCAGGGCTTGAACCACAGTGGGCCATCTGAGAGTCCCGCACCCTTAACCACCATGCCACCTGCTGGCCCCAGCTGTGACTTCTACCAGGAAGCCTTTGGGTCCTTCCAGGTCTGTCACTGGGTTCCCACCACCAACTGCCTGTTTCACATCCGAGGCTGTCACCTCCCCGCTCCAGCCTGAAGTCACCAGGAGGGGGGAGGCATTTTCGTGTTCACCTGACTCTTCTGGACACCTGCTCAGCTCGGCTGTCAGAGACTCACCTTCTTCCCTCGGCGGAATGTGCTGTACCAGTGTCCCGGCTTCTCCTTCGACCAAGAGGCTAACTTCACCTGGGGGAGGAGGGGGCAGTCAGGGAAGCAGACAGCCGTGGTGCCCGGGTGCCGACCCTGAACAGCTCAGGCTGCCCTCAGCCTGTGGGAGTGTATGGGAGTTTGTCAGGATCAAAATGAGGCAAGGGACCAGCGAGTAGCATCGTGGTTAAGGCGCTGGACCCCCACATAGACAACCATGGTTTGAGTCCCGGACCTGGTGGCTTGCTTTCTCACTCCATCACCCCATCAGCCCATGTGCCCTATAGCAAATTTTTAAAAAATGATTTCTTTAATTTTATTTATCCATTCGCTTTTTAAATTTTTGACCAAAGAGAGACACAGAGAAAGAGAGAGGGAAAGTGAGAAAGCAAGCCACCAGGTCCGGGACTTGAACCATGGTCAGCCATGTGGGAGTGTCCAGTGCCTTAACCACCATGCCACTTGCTGGTCCTGTCCCCTATAGCAAATTAAAATAATATGAATATTAATCATAATAACATATAAGGGGCCAGCAGATAGTTTGGTAGTTAAAGTATTAGACTCCCACATGGTCAACTGCAGTTCAAGTCCCAGACCTGATGGCTTGCTTTCTCACTTTTCCTCTCTCTCTGGTCAAATTTAAATCAGTCAATTAGGGACCAGCAGTTGGCATAATGGCTATGTCGCTGGACTCCAATGCAGTTGACCACGGTTTGAGTCCCGGACCTGGTGGCTTAAACTCACGCCAGGCGCATGTGCGTGCGTGCCCAAGATCCCGAGAGGAGAATGGAGGAGAAGGGATTGCAGCGTGGCCATCCCCCCTGGGGGGTGATTTCTTGCTTTCTGTCTTTCTGTCTCTCTCTGTCTGTCTGGTGCGCGCACTCGCCCTATAGCAAAAACCTCTCCAAAATAAAATTAATTAATTGATTTTTTTTTTTAAATAGAAAGCGAGAAATCACCCCCCAGGAGAGATGACCACGCCGCAATCCCTTCTCCTTCCTTCTCCTCTCGGGATCTTGGCCACACACACACACGCACTCGGCGTGAATTTAAACCACCGGGTCCGGGTCTCAAACTGTGGTCGACTACATGGGATTTCAGCGACAGAGCCATTACGCCACCTGCTGGTCCCAATGAATTGATTCTTTACAGAAATAATAAACTAAATACATAATTATTTATTTATTTACTTTAGAGACAGATTTTTGTCTTAGGGCATGTGCACTCCCTGGAGACACAGAGAGAGACAGAGGGAAAGTGAGAAATCACCCCCGGGGGGGGGGATGGCCAGTCCCTTCTCCTCCATTGTCTTCACAGAACTTTGGGCACCCATGCACACACCCAGAGTGAGTTTCAGGCCACCAGGTCTGGGACTAGAACCATGCTCCGCCATGTGGGAGTCTAGCACCTTGACCACTACACCATCTGCTGGCCCCAAATAAATCATTCTTTAAAAAAAGAAAAAAAAAAAAACGAGGTCATTTGTGTCCACGCAGGTTACGTGGAGCTGGGTGAGGCTGTGGAGAGGGCATGTGCTCCTGCGATCAGGCTTGATCACAAGGACAGTCACCAGGACTCAGCCAGAACGGGGGCCTGTGCAAAGGCCACTACCACCAGACACAAGGCCCACCGCCCAGGACGTCTGCCCAGACACCGCTGTCCACCTGCTCGCAACGACGAAACGGTGAGTGCGGGGACCCTCCTTACCCACCCCCCGCGTAGCCCTCACTCACCGTCTCAAACTTCTTGTCGGGGTAGAGGCAGGTCTGGCCTCCCGCTGTGAAGTTGCAGAAGACCCTGAGCGCATCCCGCGTGCAGCCCTGGTTGGGGTCAATCCAGTATTCCCCTGGGGCAGAGCCAGGTCAGGCGGATGAGCGGGGGTGGAGCCGTGACCCCTGCCCTCTTGGGGAGAGACCCCCGGACCTCACCATCCGGCAGGTGCGGGTGGTTACGGTGCAGCTCGTGGCAAATGAGGCCCGGGCGGTCAGCAGTGCCCGGGGGCCGACGCATCTGCTCCAATTCGAAGCCCAGCGATGTGAGCGAGGCCAGCACCTCCTCCAGGCCGCCCTCCGGACCCTCCAGCGCAGCCAAGTCCCGGATAGAGCGCCGGCGCCTGCGCAGTCCGTGCATCTCGGCAGGGGGACCCTGGGCGTGGGCGTTGGGGTGGAGAAGAAGAGAGCAGAGGTGGGGGAGGGAGAGACAGAGAGGCAGAGATGAAGATAGAGCCATGGGAGAGAGAGACACGGGCGAGAGACAGAGGAGGGGGAGAGAGACAGCCCCGGGACAGAGAAGGGGGAGATTCACAAACCAAGAGACACACAGGCAGGAGAGACAGAGAGACTCAGAGATGGGGAGGGGCCAGAATAGTAAGTGGATGAAAAAGAACCGCAGGGAAAGGAGAGAGAGAGAGACAGAGAGAGACAGAGAGAGAGCAGCAGAAATGAAAGCATGGGACCAGTATGGACATACAGGCGGGTAAAGGCCCGAAGAGACGAAGAGAGATGAGGAGGAAGAGATTTGGGAGGAGAGACAGCGCATGGAGACCAGGAGAACCGTGGATGTACCCTTAATCCCCCCAACCCAGACCCTCCTTGGGCTTTCAAAGGCCCCATTTGCAACCCCTGAACACCCCGCTGTGTACCTGGCCCAGTGCCAGGAGTTAGGGGACCCAATGGGAACACCCCAGACAGAGACCCTCTCCTCCTCCAGGTCCCAGTGCCCAAACTCTGCCCTTGGGAAGCTCACCGGGGGTCCAGGGGGGCCTGCAGGTCCAGTGTCTCCACGGGGACCAAGGGATCCCTACAGGGAGAAGTTATTTGGGGGTAAACTCTGTCTACGGAGACCACACACACACAGAGTCTGGGCAGGGACCCACTTAGTTGGAAACTAATTATAAGACGCACACTTTCCATATTGTTTTTAAATCTTCTTTTTTGTAAATGAATTTTTAAAAATTTTATTTGTTATTACTATTTTTTAAAGATTTATTTTAAATTTGATTTATTCATTCATTTATTTTAATTTGACCAGAGAGAGACACAGAGAGAGAGGAAGCAAGAAAGCAAGCCACCGGGTCCGGGACTTGAACTGTTTGGTCGTGTGGGAGTGACCAACACCTTGACCATCATGCCACCTGCTGGTCCCCAATTATTATTATTATTTTTTTTATTTTGATGAGACAGAGAGAAAGGAAAAGTAGAAAGCCAGCCACCAGGTCCGGTACTTGAACCGTAGCCAGACATGTGAGGGTCCAGCGTCTTTAACCACCATGCCACCTGCCGGCCCCTCTCCCCATATTTGAACATCTCTGCCACTGGCATATAATGCCTTTGGCAAGTTGCAGGTCCGTGGCAGGACCGTGTTTGGGAACGCACGGTGCATCTGACAACCGACCCATCTCACGCTCAAAACGCACGAGGCAGTGATGGGTAAATATCAGTTGGATGCGGGACAGAAGGAATGAATAAAGAAGGCAGAGGCGTGGACGGGGCCTGGTGCTGTGGACAGGGAAGGGGGAAGCCTGAGAAACGGCATACGTACTCACCGGGGACCCCTTTGAACCCTTCTGTCCCAGAGGACCCTGCCAGGAAGATAGAGGGACAGTTGGAGTCCTGGCCTGGCCCAACATGGTGACCCCCTTTCGTCGCATAAAACACTCCGTACTCACCGCCACGCCTGGGGACCCGGGGTGGCCCAGAGAGCCCATGGGACCACGGGGACCCTGGAGAAGCAACATCAAGGTAGGTATTTGTGGGGTTCAGCCCTCTTGCCCAGACACCCCTGCTCTCCATCAACAGTAAAAAGGAAGATTCGAACCCCAAACACCCCTCCCCAGAGTCAGCCTCCCCCTGGCATGTCCCAGATACAGCCCCCGTCACCCCAGACCCCACACCCACAGTCCCATTTCCTGCTGCCCGCTCCTCTGAACGCCTTCCTCCCATTGCGCTAAGGACGCACTTACGGGGTCTCCCTTGGGGCCAGGGGGGCCCTGCACACCTGGCAACCCCCGATCACCTTTCTCACCAGCCTCGCCAGGAGGGCCAATGAGGCCAATTAATCCGATGTGGCCCTAGAGGACAGAAGGATACGTGAGGGGACACTGGAACTTTCTCTCCTAGAGCCTCGGGGACGAGAGGACACCCTGGTCTCTCAGCCCTCTGGCCAGGGAGGGAGGGAATGGTGGGGGGTGCAGAGCGGGAACCTTGGGACGGGGTGTCCTTACCTTTTCCCCCTTGGGGCCAGCATCTCCCTTCAGCCCTGGGAGGCCAGGGGGCCCCTGGGAGGAGAACAAGGGTCAGTCGTGATTCTCGAGGTGCGCTGGGTGACCGGGGATTGGTCAGTGGGAAAGTATCCAAAGTTTGAGTGGGCATGTGGTCATGGGAGGGCCGGGGGACAAGAGGGATGGTGACAGGTAATGAGGGGTTGGCTGACAGTGGCCAGCGTGGACGGTCAGTGGCCAAGATCAGCATGGGTGGCCAGTGTAGACTACGGAAAGTCAGTGTGGGTGGCCAGTATAGACCGTCGAGGTGGAGGGTTAGCATGGGTGGCCAATGTAGACCATCCACATGGAAGGTCAGTTGGGTGGCCAATGTAGACCGTCAAGGTAGAAGGTTAGTGTGGGTGGCCAGTGTAGACTGTCAAGATTGAGGGTCAGTTGGGTGGCCAGTATAGACTGTCAAGGTGGAAAGTTAGTGTGGGTGGCTGGTGTAGGCCATCAAGATTGAGGGTCAGTTGGGTGGCCAATGTAGACCGTCAAAGTACAAGGTTAGTGTGGTGGCCAGTGCAGACTGTTGCAAGTTCAGTTGGATGGCTAGTGTAGACTGTCAAGGTGGAGGGTCAGCTGGGCGGCCAGTGTAGACTGTCAAGGTGGAGTGTCGGAATAGATGTTTAGCATATGCAGCCAGTTAGACAGTCAGAGGGTCACAGAGACCAGCCTGCACCGCCAGCACCAGCGGTCACTCTCTGGTCACCAGATGCCAGCGTGGTCCTTGGCACCAAGACCTCGGGGACAGGAAGACTCTTACCAGGGGGCCAGGAGGGCCCATCAGTCCAGGGGATCCCAGAAGGCCTGGTTCACCCTGAAGATAAAAGACAACATGGGGGGTTCCAGAGTCCGGGTGGACACCCCCACCGCCCCCAGCTTCAGCTGCCCAGTTATGATGGGATTACAGGGGTTGGGGGGATACCCTGGGAGGGGCCTGCCCCACCCCTGCCCACCTGCTCCAAAGGTCCAAAGATCCCACTCACCACAGGGCCAGGGATCCCTCGAAGACCCTCAGGCCCCACACGCCCAGGAGGCCCTCGAGCCCCCAGAGGGCCTGTCCTCCCTGGGGGCCCGTCAGGACCTGGCTCCCCCTGAAATGGGCAGAGTTGAGGAGGGGCAGAGTGGGTTGGGGTCCTGCCTCTGGACCCCAGCCCGAGCCGTGAGGAGAGGCAGGAAACTGGGCATTTGGGCTACCGCCGGCCCGCCCCCTCTTGCTGGCCTGACCATGGCTGAGGGGACAACGCAGGGCCCCTCCCTAGGGCAGGTGGGGACTCACCTTGGCCCCCTTCTCCCCTTCTCTGCCTTCTGGACCCATGCGGCCGGAAGGGCCCTGAGGAGGGAAAGGCGATGTGAGCAGGGGCTGAGGGGTGAGCCCAGGTGGGTGGGTCAGTGGGGGTCTGTGAGAGTCGGTAGAGGAATGGCGGGGGGGTCTCTGAAGTTGAAGGGTGCCTGTGGGGTGAGGCGGTATTTGGGGTGAGTGGGGCCCAGGGGACCAGGTGGGGCCAGCACAGCCGGGAGGGGGTCTTCACTCACCCTCTTGCCAGGGGGCCCTCGGGGGCCAGGTTCCCCGGAAGCACCTGGTGGCCCCTGCGGACATGAAGATGACCCCAGCCTCGCATTGCCCCGCTGATGGGGCCCGACTGCTTCCGGAGCCCTCAAGCCTTTCCCCAGCATCACCCCACGCCCGCCATCTCCCATCACGCCCCTCAAGCAGTTCCCATCTGTGGGCCCCCCAGTTCACCAGGTCACCTCCTCAACCCCCTGTCGCAGCCCCACACCCTCGATCCCCACTCACCGGTCCCCCGACATCACCAGGGTCTCCCTTCTCCCCTGGAGCACCGTCTATACCCTGCGTGGGGTGGGGAAACCGAGTCAGGAGGGGTCTGGGGGTACGGGAGAATTGGGGGTGGGGTCCGGAGGACAGCAAGGGTTATTGTGTCTCTGACTCTGCCCGGGTCTGTGGGGACAAATCAGGGACATGCTGGGCTTGGGGGGAGGCAGGGGTCTCACGCACCGAAACTCCAGGGTCTCCTGGAGGCCCCAGATCTCCCGGAAGTCCTGTGGGGCCCTGGAACACAGAGGAGTCGGGGTCACGTCTCCGCATCACTGAGCGGTCATGCATTTAGGGGACAGAGGAGCGCCCAGGGACGTGTTAGTGGACAGACCCGGAAACCCGGCCTGGGCTCGCCGGGCGCAGGGGCCGGGTTGGGAGTGTCACCACGGGTCACCTCCCTGCACACCCCCACAGCCTCCCTGCAGGGCCTGAGAGCAATGGTGTGGGAGCTGCAGTTCGAGGTCCCCTTCACCCCACTCCGAGCCTGGCCAGGATGGCGAGGGGACCTCCGCCCGCACCCCAATGCCAGTGCCCACCTCAGCCCCAACTCTGACCCTTGCCTCTCCAACACGGACGGAGTGATTCGCTGAGATCAGCTTTCACCTGGTACCACGGGGTCTCTGGGGTAGGGTAACGCTTCATCCCTCACTCACTCACTGCTCAGCCAGTTCTCACTCACTCACTCGCTCACTCACTCGCTCACTCATTCACTCACTCACTCACTCACTCACTAATTCATTCACTCGCTCACTCGCTCACTCACTCACTCATTCACTCATTCACTCACTCGCTCACTCACTCACTAATTCATTCACTCGCTCACTCGCTCACTCACTCACTCATTCACTCATTCACTCACTCGCTCACTCACTCACTCACTAATTCATTCACTCGCTCACTCGCTCACTCACTCACTCATTCACTCATTCACTCACTCGCTCACTCACTCATTCACTCACTCACTAATTCATTCACTCGCTCACTCGCTCACTCACTCACTCATTCACTCATTCACTCACTCACTCACTCGCTCACTCACTCATTCACTAATTCATTCACTCGCTCACTCACTCACTCACTCATTCACTCATTCACTCACTCACTCATTCACTCACTCACTCATTCACTCGCTCACTCACTCACTCACTCATTCATTCACTAATTCATTCATTCATTTGCTCACTCATTCGCTCACCCACTCATTCACTCACTCGCTCACTCACTCACTCACTCATTCACTCACTCATTCACTCACTCACTCTTTTTTAGAGAGAGTTTTGCTATAGGGTATGTACACTCACTGGAGAGACAGAGAGACAAAGAGACCGAAAGTAAGAAATCACCTCCCTGGGGAGGGATAGCCATGCCCCAATCCCTCTTCTCCTCTATTCTCTTCTCAGGATTTTTTTTTTCCTCTTTTTTTGAAGAGGTTTTTGCTATAGGGCGCGTGCACTCGCCAGACAGACAGAGAGAGACAGAGAGCCAGAAAGCAAAAAATCACCCCCCAGGGGGGTTGGCCATGCCACAGTCCGTTCTCCCCCATTCTCCTCTCGGGATCTTAGGCACGCACGCACACGTGCCCAGTGTGAGTTTAAGCCACCGGGTCCGGGACTCGACCCGCAGTCGACTACATGGGAGTCCAGCAACAGCCATGCCATCTGCTGTCCTCACTCACTCACTCCTTCTGCCTCATTCTAGGTTGCTCGTGGGATCAGCAAGCTGGTGGACAGGACCCCTGGCTAGAAGTTAGGGAGCAGGTTTAAGCATATCCCAGTGTCCCCCAATTTCTGCCTCTGCTTTCCCCCAAAACTCACCACATTCCCTTTGGCTCCATCCTCCCCAGGGGGGCCTTTCTTGCCTGGAGGTCCAGCAGCCCCAGATGGTCCAGAGTCCCCCTTTTCACCAACTTCTCCCTTGGGGCCCTTTGCAGAGACAGAGGTCAGAGGTCAGAGGTTAGAGTGGCCTGGGCTCTCCAGGGATTAAGGGTTAGCACCCCTGGCTTCAAGCACCAATGTGGGCTGAGTTCGGGGGTCAGAGCAGTCTGGGGTCAGGGGTCTGGACAGTCCAGTGGCCCACTGGTCATAGTCTAGTTCCCCTCAAGAGAATTAAGAAAGGGGTCTCTCTCTGGGCAACCTGCCCCCAAGCCTGGGCTCTCACTGTGAATTGAAGCCCCCTCCTGCCCCCTGAGCCTGAACTCTTGTGCAGTTTGCAGCCCGTGCAGCTCTCCCGAGCAGCCCTCAGACTCTCCAGGGGTCTTTGGTCAAGACGACCAGGGGTGCCCATCTGTCCTGGGTTGGCAGGTGACCTAGGACTGCTCAGGGGCCAGGCTGGTCCGTGCCCAGGGGTCAGGGTCTCCCTGAGATGGGTGTGTTCACTCACCGGGATGCCGGGGCTTCCTGGGGGCCCTGGGTCTCCGGCATCGCCTGGCTCACCCTGCAGGAGGAAAGTGAGAGTGGGGAGAGGGTACACAGGAAGGGGCTCCTCAGAACAGCCACCCCCCAGGACCGGGTTCTCCCCACCACCCTGTCTGTGTGCCCTCTCTCACCTTCTCACCCACAGCGCCGGGCTGACCAACGCCTCCTGGTGGCCCCGGCGAGCCCTGGGAACACGGCGAGGGGCAGAGGTGGGGTTGTGGGACCCCGACAGCCCTTTCCTGGGCAGTGGGTGTCCCCACCTTTGAGGCATCCTTCCCTGCCCAGATCACTCACCTCTGATCCGCTGGGGCCTTGGGGACCCCGGGGACCTGGGGCTCCGTGAGGACCCTGTGGGAGGGTCAGAGGAGCACCCGGTCACCCCATGGCCCCCCGAAGGCTGCAGTGACCACAGATAACCACCCTTGCTCTTTAAAATGACAGTGTGCCCTGTGGGGCTCCCCAAGCAGGCCCGATGGCCACCCTACCCTGGACCGTCCCTCCCTGCCCCCCACTTTCCCCTGGAAGTCCATACCATGGACCCCACATCTCCAACCTCCCCTTTCTCTCCAGGAGGGCCCGGCAGCCCCTGTGGAACAAAGAGGCAAGATTAGGGCACAGGGTGGGGGGGTGTCAAAGGTGTCACCCCCAAACTCAGACACCCACCTGCAGGCCAGGGGGGCCTATCACCCCCACGAAGCCTCTGATTCCATCATCTCCTTTCTGCCCAAAGAGGCCCGGGGGTCCCCGACGTCCCTGAGCTCCATCTGCCCCCTGAGAGGACGGGGAGGGGAGAGACACAGTTAGGGGTACGGGCAAGGGGTTGGAGTCAGGGTGGGATTCAGCTGGGGGAAGGTGGCGCTGGAGATGGGGTCTGGGTTAAGGGTTAGGAATGAACCCAAGCGTTGGCTCATGGTTTTGATTTTTTTTTTTTTTTGCCATAGGGTGGGTGTGCTTACTAGAAAGGAGAGAGACAGAGACAGTGAGAGGGAAAGTAAGAAATCACCCCCCTAGGGGGGATGGCCATGCTGCAATCCCTTCTCCTCCATTTTCCTCCTGGAATTTTGGGCACGTACGCACATGCGCCCGGAGTGAGTTTCAAGCTGCCGGGTCTGGGACCCCAACTGTGGTCGGCCATGTGGGAATCCAGTACTTTAACCACAACACCACCTGCTGGCCCCTCGCCCATGGGTTTGAGACGGGTGTGGGCTGGTGAGTCAGGTTGGGGGCTGTGGTGAAGGTTATGAGTAGAATTTAGACAGGATGAGGGCTGGTCCGAGACTGGGGCCGATGTGAGTTTAGGGGTGGGGTCAGCAGTGGGGGGTAGGTCCAGTGGGGTTAAGGGCAGGGCTGGGGCATGGTTTGGGTCATAGGGGATTTGAAGGTCAAGTCAGAATCAGGACTGAAATTCAGGTCAGAGCAGAGCTGAGGCTGGGCTGAGCTGTGGTTCAGAGTGGGATCGAATCCCGGCCTCGGTATTGGCATGCGGGTTGGGTCAAGTTGGGGCTGGGGTTGGGGTGGGGTCCAGGTAGAAAGTCCGTCCTTTCTCTTCAGGGGTCCAGAAGAGGGTCGCAAGGCTGGAGGTACTCACCGGGGGACCCGGGTATCCCACGAGGCCCCGTATCCCTGCTGGTCCAGGTGGGCCCTGGGAGAGGAAGCAGAACCAAAAATCCACTCAGCTTTTTCTGTTTTGTTTGTTTTTAAATAATTATTTACTTAATTTTATTATTTTTAATTTAACCACAGAGAAAAAGAGAGCGGGAAAGTGAGAAAGCAAGTCACCAGGTCTGGGATTCGAACTGCAGTTGGCCATGTGGGAGTACAGCCCCTTAACCACCACGCCACCTGCTGGTCCCCTTGTTTTTTTGTTTTGCCTTTGTTTTGCTATTGGGCATGTATACTCAGCAGAGAGAGAGAGAGAGAGAGAGAGAAATAAACACCCCCTGGGGGGTTGGCCACACCACAATCCTTTCTCCTACATTTTCCTCAGGACTTTGGGCATGCACACACAAGCGTCCAGCATGATTTTCAAGCCACCAGTTCTAGGCCTTGAACTGCGCAGTCGGCCATGTTGGGATTCAGCCACCTTAACCACCACGCCACCAGCTGGCCCCAAATCCCCTCAGGGTGATTCTCGCTTTCTGTCTCTCTGTCTCTCTGGGGAGCACACGTACCCTATAGCAAAAACCTCTCTAACAATAAATACAAGCATCTATACGCAAAAAAATACATGAACAAATACAAATCAATAGTTTAAAAATAAGAAATAGAAAACTCCCCCCACCAGGAAGCAGCAACTGTGTGTCTCCCCAGCCATGAGCTGATGGGCTCAGGGATAGACATCTGTCACCAGGACCTTCCCCCAGAAGTCCTGCTGTGACCCAGGGACACTGCTGGCTAGCTGATGTCAGCACCAGGGCTGCGTCCTGGGGGGATGCTGAGAATAGAATGCCCCAGTGCCACGCGGAGTCACAGGCAAGGGACGAGGTGGCACGAGGGAGAGAGAGCGGGGAGGGCAGTCCCTCACTGCTCTCGTGGGGCTGCGGTTCCATTCTGTGGCCCCTTCCTCCACGTCTTATGAGCAGCTTCTGGTGCGTGTCAGAGTCACCATGGTGTTTGGGAAGGCAGGGGCTCCCTGCGACCCCTGTCCCCCGTGCTCCACACCCCTGGTCTCCCCTTTCCTCCCCAGGACCACCCCTCACAGGGTCCCCCACTCACCGCATCGCCCTTGTCACCTTTACTCCCTTTGTGACCAGGGGCGCCCACGTCCCCCTGCAGAAGAAAGAGGATGAGGGAGGACCGGGCCTCGTCCTCCCCTGTCCCCCATCCTCCCCTGGACCCTCCCTCTCTGCAAACCTCTCACCTTGTCCCCTTCCTCGCCTGAAGGCCCGGCAGCTCCAGAGGGACCCAGAGGTCCCAAGGGCCCTGGGATGCCGTCTTTGCCAGTGGGCCCCGGGGGGCCTCGTTCCCCCTGATGTAGGAGAAGCGATTGTCAGGGTCCTGCTGGGACGGAGGCTGAGCACGGGGCGGGCAGCTCACTGACTTACCGGGGACCCCTTCTCTCCTGCAGGGCCCACGGGGCCTTGGCCTCCGCTCTGGCCTGGAAGCCCGATACCTCCTGCTGGGCCCACAGGACCGCGCTCGCCAGGGGAGCCCTGAACACAGGGGGCAAGGGTCAGAAATAAAACGGTAGAAGCTGGGACCAGCAGTTGGCGTAATGGCCATGTCGCTGGACTCTCATGCAGTCATCTGTGGTTCAAGTCCCAGACCTGGTGGCTTAAACTCACGCCGGGCGCGTGTGCGTGCGTGCTCAAGATCCTGAGAGGAGAATGGAGGAGAAGGGATTGCGGCGTGGCCATCCCCCCGGGGGGTGATTTCTCGCTTTCTGTCTCTGTCTGTCTGGTGAGCGCACGCGTCCTATAGCAAAAACCTCTAATAATAATAATAATAAAAAATAATAACAATGGTAGTAGCTCGTATGGGGGGGAGTGTTCAAGTCCCAGCATCGAATCTAACCTGCTCCTTTTCCTGCAGCAGCCAGAGGGCGCCCATGAGCACCCGAGTCAGGGCATGTCCTTCTCCACCCACAGCCCTCCATGGCTCTCACCTTCCTTAGGTTAAAAGCCCAAGTCTTCCTGGTGGCCCCAAGGCCCTGTGCAAACTGCCACCCCCCTGTCACAGCCGCCCCGCCCCCCTCGCTGACAAAGCTCCAGCCACGCCTCCCCTTGCTGTCCTCACACATGCCAGGAATGGTCCTGCCCCGGGGCCTCTGCAGGTGCCCTTTCCTCGGCCTGGAAAACGCCTCCCCTAGGTAACCACGTGGCTCCTCCCTCAGTTCTTGCAGGTGTCAGCTCTAAAGGGGGCTGTGCCTGACCAGATGAGTGCTGTTTTTTTAAGAGAAATTTTTGCTATAGGGTGTACGTGCTCGCCAGAGAGACAGAGAGAGACAGAGAGACAGAAAGAGAGAATCACCCCACAGGGGGGGATGGCCACGCCGCAATCCCTTCTCCTCCATTCTCCTCTCGGGATCTTGGGCACGCACGCACACGTGCCCGGTGTGAGTTTAAGCCGCCGG